TTGGCCATACTATTATTTTTCGTTCGCTATTGTTTCAAGCTTATTTAAAAAAATATTTTCAACTTGTCAGCTCGATGTTCTTCAAAATCGTGTTTTTTAGTCTTTTCAAACTATTATTATTTTATCTAAACTTTTTGATCAATCAGCCGTATATTGTTTAGAAAAAATAATGACCATTGATATTTTCCGATTCCGGAAAGGAAAAATCAGCTACTAAGCCCAAGGAAGGCGGCAGGCGCGCAAAAGAGGGTTACAAATAAGGCGCGCATGTTAATGAAAAAAAACTGTTTTCAAATGAAAAGTGTAGTGAAGTGAGTTCGAATTATATCAAGGAGGTTACATACAGCGCCATCTGCCCGCGGATATATCAAGTAATAATGACGATAATTCTGTCAAAAACATATCCCGATCTTGAGAGTTACAAACAAACATACATACAGGTGATAAAAGCGTGTTAATAAAAATAAACTGAAAGAGGCAAAATTTACCTTTAATAATAAAAGAATACGGAATGCACCCAATGTAGATAATGAAAGAAAGATGGAAACTGATAAATTAAGCAAAAACGATATCTTCAAAATCGACTGTCCAACACATAACGTGAAGTGCAAGAACAAATGACTTGGAAAATATCTGTAATCTTTTCAGTAATCATTTTATGAATATCCCTAGCCTTAAACCCAATCCTTATGAAGTTATATTATCTCCTAACCATAATTTCATATTATTTCTTGGACCAAAAACACCCAAAGACATTGATGACTATATTTGAAAAACAACACGTAAAGAGGCTCAAGGTATCGATAGATTTTCCAGGAAAACTATAAAATATGTCGAATAAATAATAAGTACACCATTGTTACATATTATAAATGAAAATTTCAAGGCAGGAATCTATCCAGAAACGTTGAAAACATCAAAGTAAATCCCAATTTACAAAAATAAAAGGTGCCGAAAGGACATAATCTATTAGTTTGACGTGAAAGAAAAATACAAAATGAATTTGAACGAAATTCATAATTTAGTAGTAAGAAATAATGTAATTCTATATTTGGTTCAAGTAGGAGTGTTTGCAGCAACAATACGTTGTACTAATTGCAATGAAGAGTGCAAATTAAATTGTGACACTTAATGGTATAGATGCAATAGAAAGCGGATTATGAAAATACCAAAGAAAAAAGCTCAGTACACTTGTTGTAATTTTAAGAAAAGTGCCAAAAACCAATTTACGAGCTAAAGAATGAAGGCTAAAAACATTTGAATTACTTTAGGAATATTAACTGCATCAGTCGTACCAACCATATCATTAACCTTAAAAACGTAAAATACAGTGATATGTAACCAAAAAGCAGCTCCGTACATTTTTTTACATTTTTATAAGAAAAATGTTGATTATTGAAGTGAAAAGTGTTAAAGAAGGAGCAATAAGGTGTAAAAGTGACCTAGTGAATAAATGCTTGTGTTTTTAAATAGTTTATTCGGTGAAAAAGAAGGCTGAAAAGTTGCCCTTTTCTGAATTTTGAAGGGCCGTAACTTTTTAAATAAGGGAGAGCGCCGCTTTTTTCTTTCGGATTCGTAATCTACGCATCAAAATACGTAAGTACAGTCAAAAATTTTTTCAAAATCGCCGGGTGTCCACATAACGAAAATTTACCAAAATCAAATTTTGTTTTTTCGTTAACCAGCTGTCGCACCCCTACGAACAACAACCCTCAGTAGTCGAAACTTGTGCGAGCTAAGGATTAACGAGGTCTTACCTTTTAACATGTGATTCCTAACACGGGTTGGATGAGAGGAAGCGAAAATCGATCGTTCAGACTGGGGCTTGAACCAGCGACCAATACGGCAGTCAATTCGAGTGAATGAACAAAGCACCCACGTCGAACCGACCAGCTACCGACGGCTACATAAGACATAAAATGAGGCAACGGCAAAGAATAACATTATTACAAATAAATAAAATTACAAACAAATATGGATCTTAATAGCATAGATTTCACTTCAACATAAGTTTCAATGAATATTATTCCTGAGGAAGGCTGTCATCCAATTCAAAAAACTGCTTTGCCTCAGCATTAAATGGTTGCTTTGGTTTGTTTTGTTTTTGTCTCATGCTACTATGGATATGGATCATCCGAAGTAAGCAATAGTCGTTGCACTCTCTCCTGGAAAACTTACTAGAAAAACTCTCTCTGTATTGTTGTTCTTCCGATAATTGTCCAATCGGTAATAAGGCATGAGCTATAACGCTTGATGAGTGGATCAATATTTTGTGTACTGTAGGCGACAGGTTGCCATTTTTGCTGTACTCTTGGCGAAACTTGAAAATTTTTCTAAGTTCATTTCAAAGTCAGATGACAAAACCTCCAATATTCTTTTGAACCTTTTTTATTAATTCTATGCCGATGCCCGTTGTTGAAGCTAGTTTTGAAAGAATCTTCGTGAAGTGTTAACATCATTAATGTTGCCATACCCAACCTTATGAATATCCATGAGTCATCCCAACTTGTCTTTAAAATCTTTTTGAATTTGTTTCTTTGCATTTTTGTCAGTTACGCGACTCTTGTAGACTTTACCATGTAGTAAAATCTCACCATTAAGCCATATAGTAAAGGCTCACCATTAAGCCATTCATGGTCTTTTTCTAAGAAACGACTTCCTGTACTACAAGCAAGCCATTTACGTTTATATACCACTTTAAAAGTATAAACGACTTTTTGAAGTTCATCACNGTGAATGGTACTCATTTTGAACACTTATTGTAACTTCATAATAAATAGCACAGTTAAAAAGATTAAAGAGTTTGAACTGTTGTACAACCCATTTTATTACAGGCAAATAAGGTGAAAGTAAAAAGTAAGTAAAATTTGTGCTATTGAAAAAAAAATTGTTTATCTCATAAACTAACCACTTTAACCTACAAGTATTATATATTTTTGAAATCAGCTCAAAGAGGAGTATCCAAATTGTACATAAAAAATATGAGAAGTAATTTGAAAAAAAGGGATGATGCTAGGGGTGAGGGGGTGGCTTTTCCAGTAAGTTCAAATAAGCCATAATGCTTGCCCCTTCCAACATAAACTGACGTGTTTTTGGATTTTTCCTAAATACCAGTATTACAAAAGTTATTAAAGGTGTATACTTTTATCTGAAAAGCACTGTATATTCTTCTTTGTTAGATTCTATACAAAATTATTAATGAAATTTTCAATTTCCATTTCAGGAAGTACTAGCTTTGGTTTCATGAGTGCTGCGAGTATGTCAAGCCATAACAACAATTCGGGTTTATTGCCTGATACTACTAGCTACGATTATGATGCACCAATATCCGAACATGGAGCAACATCAAAAAAATATGAATTCATAAAAGAAGTCATTAATGCCCATAATAAAGTCAAAACCAAAATTCCAAACCCACCAGTCCTGAAACCCCTTGTTAAATATGCTGACCTCAGACCTGAAGGGCAATTGCTCATTTCAAACGTGGTGGATCGATTTGGAACCAAAATAGCTAGTAAAGATGTTATTCCCATGGAAAAGCTTGATATCAACCATAATTCAGGCCAAAGTTTTGGATATATTGTATATCGTAAAACCAATCTGCATATTTCAGCACACAGTGTTCTCAAAATTTCCGGTTACGTACGAGACACAGTATTAGTGTTGATAAATGGTCAACTGGTTTCTCCACCTCCAAAAAATGAAAGTGACGTGAATGGTTTCGGTTTCTGGAGGTTACATGATTCTACTTTGACTCTGAGTAACATAGCGCTTGAGGGAGCAACACTAGATCTAGTTGTTGAAAATTTTGGGAGAAATACTTTGGGTGCGATAATTCCTAAAGGTCTCACTGATCCTGTTTACCTAAACAATGTTAAGATCACCGATTGGCAAATTGTACCACTCGAATTCAAAAAATCCTGGAATAATGCTTTGAATGGGTGGCACCCGGTAAATGGAAGAGACAAGGTCTCAGCACTTTATAAGTTCAAGTTGAATATTGAAGATGAACCCTCTGATACTTATTTGGATATGCGTGATTGGAAAAAAGGTATAACTATTGTGAATGGTTTTGTATTAGGAAGATACTTCTTTGTAGGACCCCAACAGGCGCTATATTTACCAGGACCATTTCTGAGAAGAGGAGACAACGATATAATTGTTTTCGAACATTACAATGCTCCAAGTATATTGAAATTTTCTGAAGATCAAATATTTGGAGGACCTACGCATGATTGAGTTGAATAAACTGATNTGCTACTCTTTCGAATTTCGTTGAGTTGTTCTAGTGTGAATCCACTTTCCCCTCCATTTTCGAAGAAAAACCTGTCTCCTTTTCTTGTTCGGTAGAATTGTTCTGTTAAAATAGAAAGGAATGTAGGTCCTGCTAAAGTTCCAGGAACATTTGCTTCTAAAGATCCACCAACTGTCAAATCAACATCGTCTGGACTCTCATAGAGACTCTTCAATTTCTCAACATTCTGTAAAAAAACAGTTTTTCTAGATAATTATTACTGTTTGAAGGAAAATCATGAAACGACATGTGAAAGATACTTCACAGAGGTTACTCTTGCAGATGTTTCTTGATCATCCAGCAGCACGACCATGCTGAAATTATTCAAGTAGATGGTCTACAGAACGGTTTCGAGGTATTGTCTCTAGTCAGTGTTGAAATTAGTGCAGGAATTAAGTCCAACAGGACTCAACTGCATGTATGAAATCTTCGTCTAAGAGATAGATTGTTAACTAGTGACAGCTCCATCTCGTGAACAAATTCCCAAGCAAATGAACCAAATAATCATTGTAAGAAACTAGTTGGTATATTATTTATTTCAATTGGTGACATAATGGTAATAAATTCCATTGTATCAAGGGGGAGTAAGTACGTGTAGATTATATGTAGACCTTCTATGTCCATTCCTCTGTTTTAGTAGCTGCTTCGGAAATGTTTAGATGTCAACGCTCATATGGGTTCAAAGATAAACGAATATTATTGATACTCGAATGTGTGAGTTTTGTAACATCCTTTGTCATACTCTCGAATTGGTCGGTGTTTCGGAAGCCGATGATTATGTATTGAAGTCTTTCGGAGCTATTGGTTGTTTCCACGGCCCATATATCTGAGGCTGTATCACGAACTGACGGTAATTCATTAAGATTAGCATTATTACTTACACATCAAATCATTGTGGTGAGTATGACAAGTTTTCAAACAATATCCACTTGCTCGCCACCCATTTCATGAAGGATTTCATCGAATATAAAGGCGATGGCATTATTGGATAGGTCGCACTGCTTGGTCACACCAGATGGCGTGAACTGTCTGCAATATTGAGTATGAGATCCTGATAGTTGAGAGGGATTCTGATTTTATCCGAATTTTCAGATACCTCATATTTCCACTAATACATAACCTTTTATTGCTAGCAGCAGAAAATGTTGACTAATCGTCGCCTTCTGGGTGGTCTATTCAACTAATCTATTCCATTTTGTGTGACTTCATTCATATCATTCACTTTACAATAATTACAGAAGATTTTTCTCTGAGGTGGACCATTATCCACATCAGAATTACTGCTGCGGTCCTGACAGTACTGATAATTCAAGACGACGATATCGTTATGTAGGTTTTATGGTAGCTTGTCCCATATAGATGTAATTTCATATGAGGTTCTACATTGGTGTCATTATTCAATGTCTTTATCTGGAGAAACTTCAGACATAAATGACCACACCACAATGTGGTGAATTGCTACTGATGTTCATAGTTATGAAGAATAGTATTAGTTGGTCCCAAAAAAACTGCGAATAAATTTTTTTGGTGGAGTTGAATCGCCGAAACTATCAAAGTATTTTACTAAGACATCACTTTTTCCGTATGCTTCCCAATAAGTCCCCGGACCATCTCGACCATTGAAATTGTCTATAGCGGATTCATATCGATGGGGTTTTCTTGTTGGCAGATCCACGAAAATACGAAATCGCCAATTTCTTGGCATAATATTTGAGGTCAACGTCAGAGAGGGCTTTTCACGGTAGTTATATATTCTAGAGGTTTTTCTTTTGGATTTTCAGCCTTCATTTGTATCCCTCTACTACTCTTATTTCGAGCGATTGTCTCCATGCGTATATTATAGTGGTTTATACAATTGCTCCCTACTGGATTTTGCTGATTGAACTGCTTTGGTTATGCCAGCTGTAGCATTTGGTAAACTACCTAGCGCTGATAATCTGGGAAAGATTAGTATGAGCTGTAGAATTTCACCAATTTTTGGGATTGATATTATGCGCGGAATGCGATATTATTCCTGTCTGCGGGTTTTATTTTTACTACCTGCAGTTTTAGGATATTTGCGCGCTGCTCCCAGCTCCATGTCAGTAGCCCTGGGTTGCATTAATTCGGACCCCATGATATTCATTATTAGCAGAGCAATTACTTTTTACTGAAATAATTGCCGTCAATCAATGCCAAGCGGATTCCTGAAGCTGCTGATCTGCCTTGTGCCTGGCCGCAAGATCATCTGGATTGTATGAGTATGCAATGTCGTGCTCTTTACATGTGAAATCAAACTGATTGACGCACGGATCACCCTTTTTCAACCTCTTCTGTAATTTCGTACCAGATCCATAATACTGATAACCCGGCAAGTGCAATTCAAATGTTAGATTATTATTGAGATTACTGACTATTCCTCGGCAGCTGATCTCTATTTGAATGTGTTGAAAGAAAAAAAACTGTTTTTTCGTTAACCAGCATCCAACAAGATGCCTCAATTATATAGTCTCCAACTGCAATACAGTTTACTGCATTACAGTTAAAAGTACATCCCAACTCAAAATAGAAGAATCTGAGGAGGGGCACAAGGAAAATAATGCCAAAGAGGCTTCAAAGACAAATTCCAGAATAAGAAGCATCGAAGATAGCTAGTGGAGCTGATGAGATGCAAAAGCACATATAAAAGTTACTATCAGGAACACCCTCTACGGGATTCACATCAACTTCGAAACGGGAAAACTACGTTTGGGTACGGCTGACGTAGAGTTTATCGATGAGAAAATCATATTCAAGAAAGGCGGTAGAGGTGTCATTACTTATCAAGGTACTTCAAAACTACATAAATTGATGGATGTAGCCGTTAATACGTCGTTGGAGATTATCATGAAAAATGAGAGATGAAACTTCCTACGTTTTTATATCATTTCTTTTTGTAACTAATTTTTCTGCAGTTTTGTCATATATTGTAGGACGAAATTGCAGTAACCTACTAAAGAAGGTACTGGTGTGATGAAATTACCCTCCCAGAAAAAATATAATCGAAATGAACATATTTATTGTGTTTATTGGAATTTACCCGCGGCTGGCAATTAACTCGCGTTGCTGGGTATTACTCTTTTGCCAAATCAATTGCCAATCAATGGAATTGGCAATTGATTTGGCATCTGCCTCGACCAGATATTTTTCTCGAGAGAATTTATCTGGTTGAAGCTGGGATGATTCTGCAACCGTGTTAAGAGTCACACGTTAAAAGGTAAGACCTCGTTAGTCCTTAGCTCGCACAAGTTTCTCAACTTCTGAGAGTTGTCGTTCGTATGGGGGCGACAGCTGATTAACGGAAAAACAGATTTTTAAACAGAATTCAATGTTGACCGCGGGATTGTAGAACTTTCATGGTCTGTGCATGTGCTACATTTGATTAGAATCTGAGATCTGACAAAAAACACTTTTGTAGTGACATGTGTAGTCCGAAGTAAAAAGCGATTATTCGATGAGGATAGGAAGTGGTCGTCGTCTGCGTAATTACGATAGATTCAGGAACGATAGGGCGGTGAGAGGTGAGCTTGATATTTCTAAGACCTTTGACCGTATGTGGCATGCGTGTTTGCTGACCAAACTTCGATGCTATGGCTTGTCGAACCATTTTTGTGTATGGCTCTTCAGCTTTCTGAGAGAACGTTCCCTGCAAGTGGCTGTCGATGGATATCTCTCGAATACTTTCACCATCAATGCTGGTGTTTCCCAGGGATCCATATTGTCTCCAACCCTCTTTTTATTGTATATCAACGACTTATTGAAAAAAAAAAAGAAAACAATATATTGCTTTGCTGACGACAGCACACTTATATCGTCATTACATTTGGATCCCAGGACATCGGCTGTGGAAGCACATCTTCACCGGCAGCAGGAGGTTGAATATCTTAATGATGATCTAGAAGTAATTTCGAATTGGGGTGAAAGTAACCAGGTTCAATTTAATGCCGCAAAAACCCAGGTATCGGTTTTCTCCATGAAGAACCGGATATTATGAAGTCAGGTCAGACAATTCCGCTTTCTGTTTCGATAAGTTTGCTGTGAGTGAAAATGGACACCAATATGTCTTGGCACAATCATGTCACTGGAATTGCAAAGACTGCTTCTCAAAAGGTTCAACTCACTACACCTCGAACTCCACTGTATTGGAGAACGGCGTTTATGTGAAACAAACTTCCTGACAATGTTTTTCCAAATGGATTCAATCTTCAGCGATTCAAATCCAATATGTAGTGCTTGAAGTGCTTGAAGATACTTCCCCAACCACGCAGTGTCTTGTGTACATCAGTCAACAGTATGTGTACTCCTAGAAAAGGATTAGGGATAGGTTTAGTCTATGACTATAGAAGATGGTGGTGGACTATCCTGTATGGTGTAAAAGGAAGATCAAGAGAATCTTCATTGTCAGAATCCTCATCGTCCGTCTCCCTAGGAAATAGTAATTTGAATTACTGTTGCGTTGCTTTTTCTTGTCATGAAACGATTTATTGCAAGATGATTATAAAAAGATGATCATGTTTGCTATAGATGACATTTTTTGTGGCCAATTTAAAAATCTCCAACTGTTTCCTCTGTTGAGAATACCGACCATAAAATTACACTCATTTGGATTTAGTGCTAGGGAGATTCAAGTAGTGACTATTTGGTTATATAAATTTCTCCTCGAAATGTCCACAACAAAAAAATTGTTATTTCATAAACTACACCACAAATCAAATCGTGAGGTATAGTTTATGAAATTACTATGGATCTTCATCAAGTAACGGCCGAATCAATCAGAAAAATATAGTTATGAAAAAAAAGCTCATGATGAGTTACGGAAGGTGAAACATATACAAACTGTTTTTGAAAAGTAAGTCCTTCCGCTACTACCACAATTTCTAGCAGTGCCCATCATATGTTGAAATTGAAAAGAAATATGTTGTGGTCTCAAAAATAAGATATTTATATAAGGAAAATAAGCAAATGAAGGTACTGTTGGAGATATTTGATTAATGCTTCAGATGATAGCTTTATTGGTTTCCAAGTCCATATGTAATAACCACTGATACATAAACTCGTGATAGTATATAATTCAATATATAGCATTAAACCTCGCGTAGGAACTGTTGTCTATGCACACGATACAGCGTTTCCATATTCTCCTACCTCTCTACATCTTTATGCGAGATGGCGATGAATGTAAAAACCATTGAGAATTGACAAAATGGAAAATGATGTTTTTTCTTGGCTTTGGCTACATTCATTTTTACTTCAAGAATGTACACCAGTAACTGTAAAATGCCCATGTCAAAAAAATTGTGTGAAAATGCATCGATAATTATTATTTATACCTAAGAGTTTGAAAAATAAATAATTGTTCTATACAATAAAATATCAGATAATATTACATTTAATCACTCAAGAGATCTGAATCCGATAAGATTTATTATTGTTTTATGTTTCCGTCCACTTTCGTCCGCTTATAGGTTTATCTCTTTGTTTCATAAAGATATTCGAATATGAAATAATCCATTTCATGTATAAATATAATATGCTTTTTAAAAAGTTCCAAGGAAAATGCAGTTTTCTTGGCGAACATAAGATCATATAATATTGAGATAAAAAATAGTCTTCCTCAATCCAATGATGGAATTCTACATCTACCTCGTTATGATAATGCAAGTAGAACAATATATCAAAAATTAAAAACAAACATTTTATTCTTTGAAAAATGTATTTCAGTTTGGTCATTATTGGAAATACCCGGACTGATTGTGAAAGGTAAATGATAGAACAGAATAACCAACAGACCAAAAATACTCACTAGAAACTTTTGACAATTTTGTGATAATTTTCCTCAGTTTTCACGGTAATAAATAGTAATTTGATGAATTTACCGTTTGTTTCAAAATGATTGACAATGTTCCTTAGGCGAATTTTACAGTTCAAGACTTTCATAGTCTCGAACAGTGTTAACAGATTTGAGATCTATGAGAAAAAAAGGATGGAATTGAAAAGAAAAAATTAGAATGAGTTATCAGCTGTATTATATGAATGTTTTTATATCATGGTATTTCAATTCTTGAACAGTAAAATAGTTTCTCGAGTATTGAAACAGGAGATCTCCAGCAAAAACAGTGGACCTGAAACACTTAACATGATGCTTCACTTTTGCAATTTTTGATTAGTCTGCAGTGGATTGATTGTTAATTTTTCAATGTTTCAAATGTTTCAATAGTTATTCCGCTATTCCAGACGGAAAAAGGCATCTGCTACCGTGACAATGAGGATTAGGAACAATCTCAGGCCCTGACAAAGCTATTTTCCAGCTTTTTTGGCCGTGGTCTGCAGGTTTTTATGCCTGACGTTTCGTCTGCTATTGCGGTGACATTATTGAAGGCAATGAGGTAACGGTCAGAGTGCTCGAATTGTTCTCAACGCATCAATTGCTTTGACACGAAAACCTACAGACCATTGCCAAAAACCCAGAAAACAACTTTGAAAACGGCCGAAAAAGTTAACACTGTTTAATCTTAGGCCGTTTGAAAAAATACCTCATTGCTACTATAAAGTAATTTTTGAGATTTTTTGATGAAGAAACGATAATTGAACTCATTGTTGATCCCTTGATCTAGGTCAGTTATTCAGAACCTCGATCTTCGTTGAATCCGTTGTTATTCCCTACTGACATATCCATGCCATTACATGTAATTTTTTTTTCCTCAATTGGTTACTTAGTGCCAAATGAATTCTGTTAGTTCAGACTTCCATTGCCTGATATTATATAAAATGATTTGAAATCCCTGTCTGGTGATGACTGTCCTCATCTGAAGACGATTATTTTTTTTGTTGTTCATTTCCAAAAAAAGTTTCAGTAACAAAACGTTGACAGTTATTCAGGAGGAATGTCCTGAATAAGTTTCATCGTTCAATTTCAGATTCACCCTTGGAATGCATTGTTGAATTATGAAATAAAATTGAAACAAATAGTTATTTTCGATTCAATCATTTATTATAATACTGACTTCTATATACATAACAGCTTAACCTATAACCAAAATAAATAAATGGTGAAAATTAAATGTAACAGAATAGTAGAACTGTATAATAAACCACATAAAGAAAATTACTTCAAAATAATTCTCATTTCTAAAAGAACTCTTCAAATTCTTCATAACTGTTTTTCATTAGGATCATCACCTGTTTATTCTCAGTCTACTTTTGGGTAAACTATCAGTGAATTTTCAGCCAGATCAGATAGATGTAAACTAGTNTATTATATAAAATGATTTGAAATTCCTGAATCAATAAAATTCAAAATAAATTATATTATGAAAATTATATTCAGCAAAAAACCCTGAAGGGGGGTTCATGCATTTGTTGCTTAATCCACGATTGTGGTTACTAACAATCGAAACGTCGTGAAGTAACTTGGCTTGAAATCTCTTTCAAGTGTTTTTCATTCAATTGTTCAATTTTCAACTATTGCTTGTATTTTATTTAATCGTGATTTCAGTATTCATTTCAAACAAATTTAGTTCACTTCGAGTATAGGTATCTGAATATGCAACTTCAGTTGTTATTTCAGAAATACAAACATCTCACCACTTTTCCACTGGAAGTATTACTGTTAATTACCTGTGAGAAATTCTCTCAAATCCTCTTGGCTGCATTGCTCTCACATTATGAGCGTTATCACACATCAATCTTGATATGCTACTCTTTCGAATTTCGTTGAGTTGTTCTAGTGTGAATCCATTTTCGCCTCCATTTTCGAAGAAAAACCTGTCTCCTTTTCTTGTTCGGTAGAATTGTTCTGTTAAAATAGAAAGGAATGTAGGTCCTGCTAAAGTTCCAGGAACATTTGCTTCTAAAGATCCACCAACTGTCAAATCAACATCGTCTGGACTCTCATAGAGACTCTTCAATTTCTCAACATTCTGTAAAAAAACAGTTTTTCTAGATAATTATTACTGTTTGAAGGAAAATCATGAAACGACATGTGAAATGACCAGTAAAGTTAGAAGATTTAAACAAAAACTTTAAATTTTCATTTTGTTTTTTGATTTTTCACTAATGCAATCTGTCATCGAAAATATATGGCATACCTTCATTGAAATTGCCATGCGAATGAAACATTATAAAAATATAAGCATTAAAGCAATCGAATAAGTATAAAGATTTAATAGAGTAGAGATTACATTAGAAAATAAATATATCGAAATGAAATTTGGAAATATTCATCTCTCCCAACGTTCTACATAGTAGGTTCTGGTAAATGCCGAAAAATAACTACTTCTCCGGCTAACACCTCCTGAAGTTTAAGTAACACTTTGCAAGATACCTCACCGAGGTTAATCTTGCAAATGTTCATCCAGCAGCAGGATCATGCAGAAATCAGTCGCGTAGATCACATACAGACCGGTTTCGAGGTAATACCTCCCATCAGTGCAGGAAAGATCCGACCCAAACAGGAGTGTGCTCTGAAATCGAACCGCGTTGAAATTAATATCTTCGTGGTATTAGCCGGGGAAGTAGTTGTTTTTTGCCAAGAATTTACCAGAATCAACTGTGTAGATACGTTAGGAAGATGAGTATTTCGAGAGACCATTTCAAAATATTAATTTTTTTATACATAAGTTTTTAATTCTTCATAACTCATGAATGTATTATTTCTGCCCACTCTGTGCTTTACACAACTTTATGTTGACGTACATCTGATCTATATATTGGTATATACATACATTTGAAAAAGTAAATAAAAAAGCAAATCGTCGAAACACAATTCAGGGTCAGGGAAAAAAAAAGAAAATTTCTGGAGAACTGTTTTTATGTGGAATAAACTTCCTGACAACGTTTTTCCAAATGGATTTATTCTCCAGCGATTTAAATCCAATGTGAATCGCTACTTTCGCACAGGCGCCGCTCTGAGAGTGCCTTAAGGATTTTCCTGTAGTGCTTAAAAAAAGATTGAAATTTTTCGGGATACTACTATTTCTATTGATAGATATGGGAAAGCACATTCCAAATTTCGATTTAAATTTCAACAACTGTGTAGTGGAAAGCGCTCCAAATTTCTTGGAATTTTCAGTTCAACAAAATTGTCAATATCGATGTACATGAAAAAGATGTGACTATCAGTAATATTATTGACCGTTATATTCATAAATTCGATCAATTAATTTGTGAATGTTGATATGAGTGCCTTAAGGATTTTCCTGTAGTGCTTAAAAAAAGATTGGAAATTTTTCGGGATACTACTAGCACAGACTATGCTATTCCAAATTTCGATTTAAATTTCAACAACTGTGTAGTGGAAAGCGCTCCAAATTTCTTGGAATTTTCAGTTCAACAAAATTCGATCAATTCATTTGTGAATGTTGATATTCACCATTCTGTTTTGAACATAACGGTGGAATATATTTCCGATTACTACCAGAATTTCAAAACAAATGCTAATGGACAATTCAACATCAGATAAACCAATTTTTTTAACAAATATTCAACTTGATTTCAGGAGCAGATTGATTTGATTTGTTGATGTGTTTTGATGTAGAGACATCATGTAGAAGATTTAATATTGAACTTCATGAAATATTTGAGCAAACCGTTCCGTTAAGGTGCGTCAATTTCCGTTTCAGTAGAGTTTGTCAATTTTCTCACCGGCTATGACTCATACAGGCGCTGATGACGAATTTACACTTCAACACTCCTCTATTAGGCTTTTTGAAAACATGGCATTCAATTGTAGCAATGTATGGTTAAAGATCGTCCTGGCGCACATTTATAGGGTTATACTACATAAAATTATATTCACGATTCAAGTTGGCTTATTTAACTTTATTGTTAAAAAGACGTGTTCTCGATTCAAGTTGGTAAATTTCAGTTCCATTGTTAAAAAGTTGTTATATTTCACTGAAATTGTCAGTTAGACTCGTTTTCTTTCTACAATAAACAACGTGTTTATTTGAATTATTATTATTATCATTAGCAGTTGCAAACAATTTCTGAAAACATTTTTCAATTACATCACAATTTGGTTATTCAAAATTAGTTTCTGATAACCTTTTCATCAGCGGTAAAACATATACACTTTTTGATCAAATATATGTTTTTTTGTAACGCAAATATTTTGATTTATTATAAATACTCTTTATGAAACAAAAGAGATAGAGCTAAAACTAAAAACCATAAAAAAATCTCAATTCAAATTTGAATGGATTACTTCTGAAATCCGTCATTTAGTTTCTGAACTTTTCAATTCTATTATTACCCGTGTTAAGACATTAGTAATTTACGATTTTATTATATCTTCCAAATTATTTTATTATCGGTAGACTTCGAAATGTTTCAGTGCCGACATTTTCATCGTAAGCTCTTCATACTGTCAACACAACACAAAATAAATTCATCGATTGATGCAGAACTGCATTTAGTTACTGAAATATTTGTAAAATGTTGAAAAACTGAAGGAGTTTGATTCATATGAGTCAAATTGTTATTATAAAAAGCACAAAATGTTCATTCAATGAGTTGATGATATTTTCTTTCATGATGTTTAAAATTTACAATCTGAAGTCTACAATCAAGTAGACTTCAGGTAGTATGAAAAAGCTTGAGAAAGCTATTTTATAGCGAAACACGTGTTGTGGTTGTGCGCGGTTTTGTAAACTGTCTACTGGAAAACTCACAATAAAGTGTAACTTAAACTTCAGGAGTGTTTTACAACAATTTGTTTATTTCCTTGTTATAGATGAAAGTTTACAAACATGTGAAGTTCCAAAAAGTAATTCACAGACGAAGTCTGTGAAATACTTCTATAAGTTTATGCCAACCGAGAAATATCGACAAACTCTAACAGTTCCTGTAGGCTATCTACAAAAGTGAATACTTTCTATTAAACCAATTTTCAACTTGTCAAGTGTGAACTTTGTTTATACTATTTCAGTTCTATCAAACGATCAGTTGAGTCAATGTTTTCAGTTTTTACATGAATAATTTCGTGCTTCTTACCGTAGAAGCTACATGTAGATATTTTCAAGGTCATAGACGATAAGAAAATCAAATACCTCTATAATGAAATTTTTTGAGAGAGCAATCCTGAAGAACTTGCTTATGAGAATTAGAAAATGCATAGAGGTGAATATTATCACAAACATCACAGGCAGATAAAGTGCTGAATTCAAAATAGTGAAGCATACGATCATTGCATGAAAAGTGAAAGTCATTGTATAGAGAATTGAACTTGTCATACGGAATGTTACAAAACCACTCTTTCCATTTAAAAAAATGGCGCTCTCCTGGCAGCAAGTGATGCCGCACTATTGACTTTTTTATTCAAAAGTACTGAAAATTATTCATTTTAACAACAATTTTTTTCGACTCTGATATCTTGCTCCGTTCGAAATTTAAAATTGGCGAAGGTAATTTTTACGTCAGCACTGTAAAATAATGATTTAGTCTTCAACTCACCTCTATCTTCATTACATCAAGGAAGTCTTCGAATATTTGAGCTCTTGGCAGTCCAGCAAATTGTCTCAGATCATTATAAGACGCTAAACCATGGTCTCTGTTCCTTTGAACATCAAATGATTTGAGATCTGACCCGAAAGGTCGTCCTGCTCTGAATAAGTACTGAGTAATCTACAATGAAAAAATTGAATTCGTATTTCCATCTTGACAAAAAGTTTATAATTTCATGAAAAATGTTATATTACGAACTGATTGCTAATGAAAGGGCGAATACTTTAGCGGCATGGAATAATTATTTTTGCTGTAGGTGGGTTCATATGTTTAAGCAAGAGTTATGTGTTCTAGTATCAAAATCAGAAAGTCTGCATTGTTTGATAATATTATTTCTGTAAACAAAGTTATCTCACAGCTATCTAGGATCTAACAGACTTGAAAATTTCGAGAGGCTAGTTCTCGAGATCATTTGTTTGTTGAACGTATACGTTCGCGAACGAGTGGTAAGGAATGCATAGTTTCCTCAATGTCAATTTTTCAGCACATCCCGCAACTACTCGTTCTGACGAACATCTACGTTAATTTTGACCGAGGAAAAGATATGGCAACGAGGTACATTGTTAAAAATCCCCAAACTTCAAATGAATCATTTGTCTCCTTGTAGGTATCAGAATTATGATCAAGTGTAATATCGAAGAAAAGAGAATGCATTTGCTAAACTACCTAGCGCTGATAATCTGGGAAAGATTAGTATGAGCTGTAGAATTTCACCAATTTTTGGGATTGATATTATGCGCGGAATAATTTTGTGATAATTTTTCTCAGTTTTCACGGTAATAAACGGTGATGTAATAAATTTACCGTTTGTTTGAATATTATTGACAATGTTCCTTAGGCCAATTTCACAGTTCAAGACTTTCATATTCTCAAACAGTGTTAACAGATTTGAGATCTATGAGGAAAAAAAAGGATGGAATTAAAAAGAAAAAGTTAGAATGAGTTATCAGCTGGGTTATATGAATGTTTTATATAATGGTATTTCAATTCTTAAACAGTAAAATAGTTACTTCACTTTTGCAATTTTTGCTTAGTCTGCAGTAGATTGATTGTTTATTTTTCAATTTTCCAAATGTTCCAATAGTTATTCCGCTATTCCAGACGGAAAAAGGCATCTGCTACCGTGAAAATGAGGATTAGGAACAATCTCAGGCCCTGACGAAGCTATTTTCCAGCTTTTTTGGCCGTGGTCTGCAGGTTTTTATGTCTGACGTTTCGTCTGCTATTGCGGTGACATTATTGAAGGCAATGAGGTAGCGGTCGGAGTGCTCGAATTGTTCTCAACCCATCAATTGCTTTGACACGAAAACCTACAGACCATTGCCAAAAACCCAGAAAACAACTTTGAAAACGAAAATACGAAATCGCCAATTTCTTGGCATAATATTTGAGGTCGACGTCAGAGAGGGCTTTCATAAGATCTCTTGATATCACCAATTGATGTTTTGATCGTAGCGACTCTGCTGACACCGTCTTTTCCGGGATATAGATGAATAATGCGTCCCAACTTCCATCTCAAAGGAGATAAATTATCTTCCTTTATCAAGACCAAGGAACCAATTTTCAATTCTCCCTGGGACGATTTCCATTTAGTTCTCTGTTGGAGTTCGATGAGCCGGGGTAAGAGGATTTAAATCCTCAGGATCGGAGGAAATGGGAAAAAGGGGCCGTGAGTTTAATACTGCCTCTACCTGCACAAGAACTGTGTTTAACTCTTCGAAAGTCGAATGCGCAAAGCCAACAACCCTTTTTAGATGAGCCTTACTTGATTTTATTCCAGCTTCCCAAATCCCTCCGAAATGAAGTGAATAAGGAGGAATCAAATCCCATTTTATATTGAATTCAGACATTTCATTCTCTAACTCGTTTTTATGATCTGACAAAAATTTACCCAATTCTTTCAAATGAGATCTAGCAGAAACAAAGTTTGAACCATTGTCGGAAAATAAATGAGAGGGTTTTCCGCGACGAGCCATGAACCTTCTAAATGCCATTAGAAAATAATCTTTGGTTAAGTCTGAAATCAATTCTAAATGAATCGCCTTTGTGGCAAAACAAATAAAGAGTCCTATATAACACTTATTGAGTTTTGATCCTCGACTTTTACGATCTTTGACCAAAATAGTACCCGCGTAATCAATTCCAGTAGTATTAAAAGGCGGAGCTGGCTGTAGACGAGACGCGGGGAATTGATCCACGAGTGGCTGTATCCCTATTGGTTTAGTGCGAAAACATTTGACACAATATCGTATTACTTTTTTAGCAAGGATTTTTCCACCAATGGGCCAATACCTTTCTCTCAACGATGCCAATAATTGCTGTGGACCACAATGCATGAGTATGGAATGTTCATGCTCGAATATTAATGTAGTCAGATGGTGATTAGCACTTAATATGATTGGATGTCTTTTATCGATACTGTACAATGAATTTCGTAATCTACCTCCGACCCTCAGAATACCGTCATCATCAAGGAATGGGTTGAAATTCTAAATTTTAATATTTCTGATACTTTCTTTCTTTCTTTGTTTCCTGTCATGATCTGAATTTCATTATAAAATGAATGTTGTTGAGCTAATTTTAAAAGTGTTTTAAAATCCTTATCAATCTCGAGTACGGATAATGTACTGAAATTGCGGGACTGCACATTCTTTTGGCAGTTTGACTCAAATCTGTTAATCCATGACACAACTCTTTTTGAATGATTCAGTTTGAAAAAGTTTTCAAATGAAAAGGTTTCAAGATTTAGTACTGTAAATAACTGAGTTTTCTTTTTTAAGTTTGGTAACTCATTCATTTTCAATTAATTAACTTAATTTGGCCAATCCTCACAACCTTTTGAAAGCAACAATGGACTATGCCACCACAGCTGAACATTCGCTATTTCGTCAGGCATCAATCCGCGAGATAAAATATCCGCCGGATTTTGACTGCTAGGAATATGACGCCAAATATCACTATTAGTTAGTTCTTGTATTTTTGCTACTCTGTTGCTCACAAAAGTTTT